CAAGTTTGTGAACTTAGTAGGCTATAGAGACAGTTGCCGAGTTGGTGGTGACCAAAAAAAGGATTTAACAGGAGAGTAACATTTGAATTTTAGGACAGAAACCCAGTTATTATGAGCACTAATACTGGTCTGCTGCCCCCAAAGTAGAGTCACTTACTGTAGGCTTAACACAGGTGTGTTGTTCAAGTGATTATCCAGCATGACAGTCACACATCTTCAAGATAAATAAATAAAATGCAGTATTATGATGTCTCTTCTTCTCTTAACAAAGTGTATGAACAGTAAATTTATATAATAATCTACTCATGTTTGATAAAGTGACTCTCCCTATCATTATCATTATCAGTGGCCACTGGCCATAATTACAGCATTTATGATGTCATTTGAATAAAATCATTACAAAACAATATAGAAATCCTTTAATGCTCATCATCTAAGCATATGATTGTGCACAGACCCTTGTCACCTCCATCATTTCTGCTGTGTGACCATTATGACATCAGTATAGCACAAGTGAAAGCTTTGAACTGGAACACCAGCCTCCATAGGGATCAAGATGGCCAGCATTTACCTGGATTAAAAAAAAAAAAAATCACTTAGCTAATTCTGTCCCATCTTGTACCAACAGGGTATTCCACTCCAAAGTCTCGTGTAAATCAATCTACCTTTCTTTCAGCCTGTCTCATGCCTACCTGGTCGGAGACCTTTCTGTGCTGCCTTGTTGAGATTAAAGACTCACTGTGCAGCGACATATCCATTCAAGAAACTTGTTGACATAGTTATCAGACATCAAAGAGCCTTGTGTCATTTTGAAAAGGCCTTATGAGAGTAATGGAGATGTTAAAGGGCGTGTTATCACAAAAGGAGGAGAGAATATGAACAGGCTTCGACTAAAAGACAGAAAGCAGAGAGCATAGTAAAAAGAAGGAAAAAAACAAAAACAGTGAAATACATTCTCTAGAGAGAAAGAGGGAAGCGCTCGGCTCCATTTCCGCCTAAGAAGAGCCGAGTTAAAAGGTGGCCCCTGTACAAATGAAACTCAATTTCACGCCACATTATCCCTCCCTGTTCTCTTTCCTGGCTTTCATTTTCATTAAGACCAGAGACAATCATAAATTAATAATTACTGCCGAATGTCTAAGCGCAGGCCGCAGTCCTGGAGCCCTCCCCTCGCCTCTGTGGTCTTCCATGTTCACGCTTGCAAAATGTTAATTTAGGTAATGTGGTCTAGCCCTTGTCAGATAAAACTGTTTTGTAGTTTCACTAATACATAATGGTCTATTTGATTAGGTGACATTAGTCCTATCTTTCAGACGATCATCCTTCACCTTCCTAATGTCTCTCCACAGACTCAGGGCACCACTGAGTTATCAAGAGACATGTAATATTACTGCTTTCCCTAAACGGCCATCTCCTGGTCATGGTGCCAAGCAAATAAGTTGACGTTATGCTAAATGGTCTTGTATAGTGCTTTTCTACACACTGAAGCTTTTTCCACTATTTCCCATTCACCTGTGATATCACATGTGGACTGCAGAAGCCAGGAATCAAACCGCCACCCCTCCGGTGAGGAGACGAACCCGCTCTACCTCCTATGCCGCAGCCGCAATCCATGTTCTGTTGTGAAACTTTTTTTTAATCCTTTGAGCTCTAAAGTCTGTCAGCAGCGCTGAGATAAACACTTTCCTTCAGCTGGTCAAGCAAGCACAAACCAACAACAATTTGTGCAATGTGATGTTAGGCGAACTACAGTGAAATAAGAAGCGGGATCATGCAGAATAATCGTGTCTGGACCATGTCTTCATGAGCACATCTCCATGTCTAGTCAAGTAAATAAAGCACTCGGCTAACACAGCTTTCAAAGCTTTGAATAGGCAATCAGCACTGTGCTTTCCACACCACAGCAAAGTGAAACGCAACAACACAGCTATAATGCACATTTGGTATTTAAAGTCTTTGTGCCTCATGGACATATTTGTACTGAATTGAATTGGTTACAAAATGTGCAGTGATATGAAACATGTAGCTGCAGGGCCTCTTCTCTCAGATGCCAGTGCAGAAAAAGGCATCAGATAGAGAGAATATTTGAGTAATAGCTGCGAACAGCCCACGTCTCACGAGCTCACTGGAGTCGAGCAGTGTGAGTCCTTTACTGCAGTAAAAAGAAGGAATGATTGAGTCATTAAATGGATGAAGTGGACGTGATGTCAGAATTTCTTCCACTCCAGAGTGAGCTTAAGTTTGGAGAGGAGCCGCGACAGTCAGTGCGAGTCTGAACTCAACCAGGAGCATGGTTTCATGATTGATTGCCCTATGCGTGTCATATTGTTCTTTCAAGGTTGATTGAAACTTTAACCTCATTTTTAATAAAAAGAAGAAAAGCTTGAAATATTCCAGGCCTTGAATTTTTACAATGCAACATTGAATTATGCAGCAATCAGTCAATTATTCATCTCCGAGGCTGTGTTACAGCCATGCTTTAAAAAGCATGCAAAATGGGAATGGGCCAAGTGTGCTGTGTCAACACATTTCACTCAGAATTGCTTACTAGAGAAATTTGTCTCTCAATGTCGATTTCATTTTTTTTTAATGCATTTTAAGAGCCATACCAGTTACAGTTGCTCTGATAATATCCCTGTAGAGACTATTGAGTCTTTAGAGCGAAATAAATAATGTCACTGAAGAACAACTGGTACAAATTATCAGAAAAATCTGTATGAAGTGCAACAATAACAAAGTCAGATTTACAAAACAGCAGAATTTGAAAAATGCATCAGCTCCATCAACACCTGAGCATTATAACAAGTGAACGGGATGCGTGACCCTGCAGCATGTACAACTGGCCCAAGGAGCGTTGTTTATTTTATGGTGATATATTGTGAATTGGTGTCATACACTGGAAAGTACACATGAAATAATATATTTAGAGTGAGCTTGCTCACACTCTCATTTACATATTTAACCTAGGATTAGCCTGTGCATTAAAAAAGCACACACGTACACATGCAAGTCCGAGGGTAGACATACACACACATCCATACTCAGGAAAATGAAAACTTAAAGCAAGATGTTGTCATCATTGGATTACGCATAAATTTTTTGTTTGTTTTACTGCTATACAAAGTGAATAACAATATGCTGATTTATTCTTTTACAGCACAATATACCAGCAATGTTTTTAGGCCACACACAATACACAGAAATTAGTCAAGAGACAGGGCTGATTGTAAAGGTCTAAAAAACAAATATGCCAAAACACAACAATAACTCAGTATTGCAAAGAAAGCAGCTGCCCCCAATACTTGCCTACACTTTTATCAGATCATCTTGAACCGTTAGTTTGGCTGTCTCAGCGGCGATGATCTACACATTTACTGTATGTGTCCGTGGCTGGATATAAAATGCTAAATCAGTGTCATGTGGGACACCTACCCCAAATCTCTCAGCCTTGTTAACAGACAGTGAATTGTGTCCAAGACCTCAGGCAACATAGTTAACTCACATAGTTTATCATAAACATGATAACTTTATTTGAATTTGAAATACAGTGAGAGATGATTTGAGAAGCTATATAAGTTATCAGTGACAACAGACCTAGACACTCCATTGAGAGCAAAAAAGAACAAACACATTGTGAACATGGGACACTCCTCCTCCTCCTCTTCCTCTCCTGATTGTAACACATAAGGTCTAAACTGTTTTGCAGTTAAGGACTGACATCAGCTTATGTCTAGAGAATATACACGGGTGCTTCAGCACCGAAGTCTTTAGGGACAGTAACAGGAAAATCATAATTATAATTTTTTTGTCTCATCAGGATATCATGAAGCACTTTAACAAAGAAATGTGTTTGTGCAGGTTCAAGGAGGATTTAAGCAATAATTAAATGGCATTAAATTTGAAATGTTGTGTCATGACTGATTGTTTCTCAAGCTGACACGAGATCATAATTAGTCTGGATTTTTTTTTTTAAGCATTGAGAGGTGCTGATTTTTAAGTGTGTCTCATGACAAAAACGTACAGTAAGTTCCAAGAAATATTACCTCTGTTACAAAGATTACAGTACTATTGACAGGAAAAGTCTTCATTTTCAAAGTGAAATGTTGGATAATTATGTTTTGAAAATCACCTGGGCTTGAGTGAGTCAACCCTAGTATTTGTTCAGCACAATATAGGATTTATTAAATATCATAATTCCAGGACAAACATTTACATGCCTGCATGCTTTCTCACCAAAATGGCAGCTATAGGAAAGAATGATGGCTCAGAAATAGAACAAAACAAAACTGTAGGTTTATATAAATGGTGGTATTGTTTGCCTAATAGCTCTACTGCATACACAATACCTCTTAACGTTATATACACATACCTTATCAATCCGCTCGGGTTTGATAGAGTGAGTTTTCCTATCATTATCATCAGATCTTGTATATACAACAATGGTAAAAAGGAAACTTGATTGTACTGTCATCTAATTTAGAAAACATGAGAATCAAACATCAGTCTTCTTTTTTGATGAACACATGGATAGATTCACATTTTTCTCACAAGGTTCATCTCCACGTGTTGTTTTTACTTTCTCCAAATTCAATTGGAAATACAAAACAAAACTTCGGTCGAATTTCTTTTTTCGAAGCTTTCTCGCTGGCTGAGATACAGTATAAAAATCTTCAGTGCTGTGAATTTATGAGTTATTACCCCAAGTGTACCACGGGTACATTTTTACTGTGCTCAATATATATGTTTATCCTTCACGTCGGCCAACCCGTTACGTCAAAACCTGCTTTCTCAAACTATTTCATGTTGGCCTCTGTGATGAAAAAGACTTCTTATTCTACATTCAGACACAACCCCCTCCAGCATTTGGGTGAACACAGCATTTCCACTGAACTCCTACAAGCAGCTCGACTTCTTTCCACTACTAAATCAGCCTGGATAAGGGCTCTTGAGAATCTTCATGGGTTTTCTTTTCGTTCTTTTTTCCCCCCTTTTTTTTCTGAAATTTTTATTTCCTCCAGCTCCTCACGGCCTTATCAGTACATCACTGTGGTTTTCAGGAACAGTCTTCCATCTGCAACAGAGGACACACAGGAGCCAACGATTAGCCAACAGCTAACATCCTGCTGACGCAAACGCACTGTTCAGGATGTGATCGCTGGTGAAACGTAACTTTGAAATGTTGCCCTCTAGTCGTTCAATTTCTGCAGCGTTACGATGGAATCGTAAACTGATTTAGGGATAAAATAAAGTTAGCAACCGTGACAAATTAAATTAAATATCATGTTCAGTAATTTACTTTTACTACTTGCAACAAATATAAAAAATAATCATGTATAAACAATTATACAGTGTGTTGAGCTATCTTGGTGGAGTCACAAACAAGAAAATACATACAATTCAACGTAGTGTATTTTAGATCATATACTATACAGTGCATCATTCAGGATTACTAATATAATTACACTGTTATAACCATAAAAGCACAAACTGTAAAAGCAGCCGGGGTAACCACAGCCAAGGCATCAGAACAGCGGGCCACATGTGTTTAAGTCTGCTCTACTGATATGCTTGTGTGAACATAACACTGCACTCCAAGTGACATTTCCTGCATGGAAATAGTGTTTATTGAAAATGGCAGACATTCCTCTGCTACGTTATCTCCAGACACCTCCAACCTAACGAGCTTTGTCCATTTGCAGTGAACACTCTTGTCTGCAGGTTCGCCTGAGTGAGCAGCGCCGCTCCGATGCTGAGCTGGTAAAAGCATCTGTTAGGCACAGCTCAGGAGCAGGTTTGACGTTTATTACCTTCACATTTCTTCTGCCGCAGAATGCTACAGTAATTCCTTTAAGAAGCACACCTCTCTATGGCGGTACGCCTAAATAATTCAATGTTTAAGAGAAACGCACACAAAGATATTTAGCATTGCAAGTTGTCGGACATGACACAAGCTGAGAAGGACATCAGAGACGACGCTCGAGTCTCATTCTTCAGAGACACAGAGAATACACCTGGTTACAGCTGAGAGGTGTCTGAGAGTACACCTACATCTGGGGAACACGTTTAAACTTTAGTTTATTTTCTATAATTGAAAAGATGCTTTTTTTTCTTATGGCTCAGTATTTAAGCTCGTTTTTGCAGAATTTATAATCTACACTCATTACACTATCAATATTGTATCAATTAGTCCTGTTCTCCTTTTTAGTCTGTGTTTTATGCATGGAGAGTGAAGCCAACAAAGGCTTGTTGTGTGTGTATGTGTTTTGGGGGGGGAGGGGGGGGGACACAGGCTAATTACACAGCACAGCCGTAGGTCTCACAGGCATTGCACTCTGGCTGCCTCTATTCAAGCAACAACCACCGAGTCCTGTGTAAAAGTCATTACAGCATGAACGCAGCAACGTTAAGAGAAGAGGAAGCCAAGGCGGGGCCGAAGAGTAATGCCAGTGAGGGGCCCAGGATACACAACACTCATACACACATTTCATAACAAGAGCAGGTGAAACATCACACGCTCACCTCACACTCAGCCTGGAGCAGTTTATATGGGTGTTAATGAAAACAAAGATGATTATTTGATGATGACAACATTTAATATGTTGTCAAAAGAATGTTAGATATCACGCCGTTTTACTCCTAATAGATAAGATTATCATGAAAGATATGTAGGGAATAAGTGAGGGGGCCTGATACGCAAATCTCCCTCATTCAAATCTGTTTCCAAATTAACGTGCAATATTAGTGAAAATGATGAAACATCTGTTTTATTTGCACACACAGAAAAACTGGTGATGTCTTGACACGTTGTTTTATGAAAGACTGCCTCATTAAAATATGTTAAAACTTCAGTATTTTTATATTCAAATCAAAATGAAAAGTTCATTAAAGAGAATAAATATTTCATTAGATGCTAAATAAAACAAAGGGAATTTTTGGCTTCTCTCAGCACAAAATTCCTTTGAAAGATTAATTAATACATGTAAATTATGCAAATTATGCCCATGCAAATATTTTATGAAGACAATTAAGGGATCCATTAATTACAGTCTTTTTTGCTTCAGTGACATTCATTCATTTAATTTTAATTTCACTTTAACTGTTTTGATGTTTAATCTTGCAACAAAGAACTTTATCTCTGTGCACAGGGTCGTGTAAACTTGCCGAACACATCGAGTGGGAAGCGGCAGGGAACCAGAGAAGATACTGGGGGAAGATATTCACATGTGCACCGTTGCCAGGCACTACTGGCGAGGTACAGTCCCAGTAGCTCACATGCCTGTGAAAAGAGCCACGTTCCCTCTTGGACCCGATTCAAAACACTGTAAAAGCAATTAATACACACAGACTGTGTTAATATCGCAGAATTAGAGAAGTGTGACAAAAGACAAATAGAAATAATTAGTTCTCTAAAATTATGCCCTCATTATTTCCTCCCCCCCCCCTCCTCCATTCACCTCCCTGAGTTTGGAGTTGAGAATATAACCACACATTTCTCTCGGCTTTCATGCGAGTGATAGGCTTGTTTTTTCCCCCTTCTGCTTGTGTAATTTATCAACATCATTTTTTGCCATTTGAGGTTAATTATACGGCGAGGCTTGCAGAGTAGAGCAGAGGAGACATGGGTGGCAGACAAATGCTTCTCTAATTGAACAAAAACACAAAGTGCAGCCTGTTATTCAGTTTCCTCCTTCATTCCACTCTTCAAGGCGATGATCAGAGTGATTTCCAGACTGGAAAAATGATATGCTCTGATGCAACATTGCACTGTTCCAAACAGGGACCATATACAAAAAAATGTAGTAATAAAAAAAAAAAAAAGATCTGACTCTGCTTCATTTTAACCATTGTAGCATGGCACTGTCATTATTAAGTGTTAAGCTTTAACACATTTAATTTGACACAATTACACTACAAAGCCTTTCATATAAGTGTAAAATATTAGAAATTAAAGTGACTAAATATACTAATTTGGTATGAAATAGGGGGCTATAATTACGCTGTATCTGGAAGTTATCTTTGCATTTAAATGATGACATATGGATTTCCTTTTTATGGACATCAAACTGTTTCAGATCCCTGCAGTGACTCAATGACATTTAATTATGGAGGAGTCATCACTTCTCTTAGTACATCTTCTTTCTTTTTGCCCTTTCACAAAATATCAGTTCAAGTAGACTAATCAAACATTAAAGAGTTAAAGGGACTTAACTTATTCTTGCATACAAAGATGAATATTTTCCACTTTTCTCAGCAAATTACATGCAGCATTTTCCTGGATAAATTGGACCCTCTTCCACTGATAAGGGCGGTTCTAAGCAGACGCGGCTGAGGCGTATTAAAGGAAGACGTTCGAGTAATAATGAGGATATTCAACCTCTGCAAGGTGTCTTGTGTCTGGGTAAACACAGATAGCAGGCAGTCTACAGAGGTTATCACTGGAGCGCCCTTCCCCAAACACGTACTGCACCCCCAAGGCTAACAAACAAACAAATCATTAAAAATGTACAAGGCTTATTCATAAAATGGATTGATTTGCCCCGTTTATTACTATCAAAGGGGGGATTCCACTGCTTTTTTTGGTTTTATGACTCATTAATGCTTCCTGAGCTGTAAACAAGCCCCTTCTTTCATTCTTTCTGTGCGGCCTTCTGGCTTAATCGTTGTACTGTTTTACTTACTGTTTTGCACAAAGATCTCTTTCCTAAAAAGGATTGCAGCTACTAAAAGTCAAGTAAAAGAACAATATTATTTCTACAGAAAACCAATGATCTTGACCCAGTGCTGCGGCCCAGATGGTGAGCTGTATGCCTGAACAGCAGGCACAGAAACACTAATGTTCATAAAGTGAAGCACTGTGTGTGTGTGTGAGACCTAGAGTGAGAGAGGAGGTAGGGGGGTAAGAGTAAGAGCCAGAGAAAGAGAGAGAGAGAGAGAGATTTATTGTCTCATCTGAGCCCCTGTACCTTGTATTGTCCTTTCAGCATCTGTTCTTCCACTGCTGCGGTCACTCTCCATCTCAGGGGTCAGAGAGTCTGAGAGAAGAGAGGGATCAGTGCCGTTAAACATCCCTGACATCCACCTATCACAATGCCAGTTTCACAGCATCGTTCATTCAAAACAAGAAGCTCAGCCTTCAAGCTATATCTCCCCCACATGTAACTGCGTGTGTGTGTTGGACGAACAGTGCTCCTCTGTGGGATTATTATCAGAAAACATGACACTGAAATCCCTGATTTACAGTAACACTATTCAGTCAACATATGGCCCTGTACTGCTGTGTTGGGACTAAAATATCAAAGGTACATTTTTACCAAATATTAATCGTCATATTTTAATTTAGTAACTGGTCTAATGACTCCATATCCGATACTGCTGGTGTCAGACGTCACCAAATGCTGGATTTATTTCATAGATTTTATGTGTAAAAAAAGACCCTGTAATACTGACTGACAGTAAAATGAGATTTCCTTTGAAGTCAGCACATTCCTGTCTGTAACACAGGGTTGTTTAAACTCTGACGTTAAATCATATTTTATGAGCGCATCAGTTTTGTATGTGAAGCCCGAGCTCTGCAAACAAGCAACGCGAGGTGTCAGAAACAACAAACAGCAGCATTTAGTTTTAGTACTTGAGTAAATGTAGTTGTTACTTTCTAACATTATATATGATAGTAAAGTCTTATAAAGCTGACTATACTCTGGACAGCATATTCTACTAAAGTATATTCACTGGTGCTAAAATGTCAATGAATTGATTAGCAGATTGACAAAACGAATCTGCAGCTATTATGATTAACTAATATTTAATTCACTCTGTAGTTTCAGCTTCTAAAATGGAATCTGCTGCTTTTCTCTGATTTATAAAACTGTAAACCGAATATTCTGGCGCTTTAGACTGCTGGCTCGAGAAATCAAGGCATGTGAAGACGTCACCATTGGTTTAGAGGAAGTGCAAAGAGCCTTTATGAACTATTATTAGACATTTCACAGACTGAACAACTGATTAATCAAGAATGTAGTCGACTTATTGCAGTAATATATGATGAAACAATGATTACAGGCCTGGTGCACAGGGTACAAAACAATATGAATGGAATACAAACATTTGAACTTCTACATGGACATTAAACAGTACTTACATTTTGAGCAAAACAACATTAATCTCTTTATTGCTGCTATAAATGTAAAGCTCATGGTACTAGTAAAGACACGTTGTTTTAGTAGTACTGCTTTAAAAAAGAAAAAAAGAATCATATCTAAGAATGTGCTCTAAAAGTGTGAAAGAGGTAAAACAGGAACAGCGTCTCACTGTGGAGTGTCTGACCGTTGAGTGAACGCATGCTGTCAGAGGGCGAGGGCTGCTTCAAAGACTGCTCAGCCTGCTCTCTCCTCTTGGATTCGTACTCCAGAGCTTCTTGGAGTTTCCTCTTGGCCTTCTTCTCCTTCTTCAGACGCTTCTGAATGATTGCTAAGAAGGGGAAAGACCACAGTGACCGTAAATGAACTATGGGGCAAATTATAGGTTTGACTGTAGGTATCACATTCTAGCAGGAAAAGATAACTTCATTAAAAAAAATCTAGCCTGCTGCTATAGACAAAGCCAAATCAATTAACCCTAAATATTTTATCATATATATAAAGATTTTCCTTAATAAAAAATACTGACTGGAGCTCAGCAAACTGCTGAAGGGAATTAAAGCAAAGTGAAAAATGTATTGGGATATTTTTCTTTCATTTCTCTCATTAAACATAAACGGCACAGTTAGCATACGCAGCTGATGCATTTAACATGAGGTGGAGAGTGGGTTTCTCTGGGTTTACATGTATTTCCGACCATGTTACAGTAAGAAATCGGTGCTAAGCAGATCACTCTGTGTAACCAAAGAAAGATACACCAGAATATGTCAGGGCTTCAGTGGGAAGCATCAAACATCAAACATACAGAACTGTGTATGTACATTCAACAATGATCTTGTCTACATGCCTGTGAAGTGTGCACTGCTGTGAAAATACACACATTTGCTCATGCCTACACACACACAGACACACAAGGCTGACGGGGAGGATTCAGTGCCAGGTAGTCGTCAGGCAGTACCTCTGTTCTTCTGCTCCATCGCGAGCTGTTTCTCCAGAGTCTCCCTGAGCTCCCTCTCTCTGAACAGCTCCATCTTCAGCTCCGTCTTCTCCAGCTGCACCTGCTTCTCCTGAGCCCGCGCGTTGTCAATTGCCACTTTGAGCAGGCCCTGCACACACATACACACGTGGAGCATAAATATATACA